ACACAGCGCGCGAGAGAGAGAGAGAGAGGGGGGTGGCGCGCGTGTTTATCACGGCTGCCGCAGATGTCCAAAGCAGCGGCTGCGCGCTTGAGTGGCCACGGGCACGTGCCGCGAATGGTACGCGACGCGTTCACATGATCGCGTTTAGACGATCCCGGGGGGGCGACCTCCCAATCGCGAGCTATCGCGACCCCAATTCGTGATAGCTTCGTTCACGGGGTTTTGGAGGGCGGAGGGGGGGGGGGAGTTCGAGGGGAGGAAAGCAGAGGGGGGCGAGGTGGGGGGGGGGGGCAGCTCCCATCAGTTCCCGCACGCAGCTACCCCCCCCCCCCGCCTTGTGTTTTTGATTTCCACCACCTACAATCAACATCGAGTTGCCGCCCCGGGCCCTCGCTTCATTCTTCACGATCACCGCGTCACCAGGAGTGCGCCCAATCTCGCCACACTCGGGACCTTGGAGCAGGCCACGGCTACAGCGCCTCCTCGCCGGTCACACCAAGGTCATGGGGCGTCTCAGCGGCCTCGCCTCTCCACTGCTATGCAGATCCACCAAGCCTCACCAAACTCCTCCACACTCCTCCACACTCCACCAAACTCCATCACACTTCATCATACTCCACTAAACTCCATCACACTCCACCACACTCCACCAAACTCTACCACATTCCACCAAACTCCACCCTTATGGTTTTCCTAGCTGCGAGATCGATTAGGTCTACTTGCAAAACCGGTCCCGGTGGATGCAGCAGCAATATTTCTGCGCTAAATCTCGGAAGCTAAATGAGGGCTCTGACCCTGATTACTCCTGTGATGAGAACCCCCCTGAGAATAACCAGGCGTTGTCGGCTTGGGCCGCGATCTGGCTACAAGAAGAAAAAAGCACGTGCAGCATATTGATCATTGCATCCATCTGTGCAGAGCTTTGAAGAGGTTGCGACTCGTGCGTGTCACGGGGTTCATTCCGGAAGTGGTGGCATTCCTATTGACCAGAACGTTCCCAACGTAGCAGGGCCCTTCTGAAAATGAGCCTTTTAGAATTAATGAGGTTCTCATGGGTAAATAAAGGGCATTGTTAATTCATTATTATTAATACCAAATCATTATCAGCACGCGCGACCATCCCCGTTCCAATTAATCAACTCCAACCGCCAGCACGTGTCACCTGCAATTGGACAAAATGTTATCCTCCTCCCCCATACTACCCATCCCCTCGCCTCCCCCCCCTACTCCCTGCCCCTCCTCCTCCCCCTCGCCATCCTCATATTGATGCTGCGAGCTGCCACCCATTGAACTAAATTGAATGGAATTGGATGTGAGTGCAGCGGCGAACAATCCGCGCGCCGTGGTGTCCTGCAGAGACGCGAGGCAAAGCCTGATTAAGTCGTGCGGGCTTCAGCGGATACTTTTGGGGGAGGGGGGGCAGGGAGACAAAGAAGGTGGCAGGGGGGGGGGAAGAGGTCCTTTAAATTTGGTGGATTTAGAGTAAAAGCGGGGGTGTTGCAGATGGCACTGTGAAACTATGGGTGTGTAGGGGGGGGGCACAGTATTAATCATGCAAGACTCCTTTTCAGAAGGGGCAATTCTCTCAAATGCAGGATTCATTTTTCATGGAATATTTTGCTAAGCAACCCAACCTACCCCCCCCCCTCCTCCTCCAAGCCCGTCCAATCGCCCCCTGCGCCTACGTGAACCACCAACCCCTGCTCCCGAAGCGCTGGGTCACTGGCACGCTCCAGCGCGCCCGTTAATTGGAGGTCACTCACACAAAGAGGGATTGCGGCTTTTGAACCATTGGCTCAGAGATGTCACTTACATCGGTACCCCCCATGGTGGCGAATGCTTCCGACGATTTCCTTGAACAATATTACCTCCAAATGACAAAACTGTACGATAGCAATGTTCCCTGTAGTAGTTCTTTATAAAACAAAAACAAATAGTGTACCTGTAGTATTGGTTTTGAAAGAGAATATGGTTTCGTAATAAAGTAAAGCTCGCCATACGAAACGTCTACGGGGTATCGGAATCACACATGAAGTGTGCGTCTATGCAAACAGAAAATAAATACACAGTTGTCTTTGTGCCCGTCGTGGATATTGGCAGCATTTACCATCCTAGATGGTACTGACTTCTCTAGGACTCGCGGCGTTGAACGGCACTGATTTAAATGTCAACCTCAGTGGAATCTCAGGCAGGGTGAGTGGATGTCTACGCAGCGGTGGAGGAAGCGCCTACAGCTCTGCACTACTAATCCGGCCACCTGAGTTCGATTCTCGTCCGTGGGGCTCACGCCATTGGCGACGAGCGATATCCGGAACCGGTCCTGGACCTCGCTTAGGTCGACTCAGCCTTCACTGAGTAGCAAATACCTTGCGTAAACATCACCCATTACGACTAACCCGCACTGACCAGGAATGGTGAAGTATGGTCGAAATAACCCCGACGTGTAAATTAGTCATCACCAACCGTGGTCAATCCACTGCTGGATGAAGGCCTCCCCAAGCCGCCACCATCTTTCACGACCTTGCGACGGAACAATTCCACCCAGCGCATGCACTGATTCCATCGCTCCGTCTCTTTAGGTGGAACGTCATATCGGGCGCGTTCAAATTACCGTGGCTTATTCGTGAATTATTAAGTAGCAACAACAAAAGACACGCGACCAACGGGCACCGCGGTGGTCCTTCTTATACTTGGAGGGAGATTCGACCCAAGAATCTCAACGGCTCTTACCTTGGAGCTGCCCGCCTCGCCTGGGTTTGCTCGTGGCTGTATCAATGGCACGAGAAGTGTGGGCGCCACGGTAGCGAGATGTTAACGACCTCGCCTGGTATACAGGAGTTCGTGGGTTCGATCCCCAACCCTGACGCCTGCTGCCGTAAATTTGGAGTTTGCGTCTCTCTCCGTGGTCGCGTGGATTTTTCTCCGGGTCATCCGGTTTCGCCCTCCACATTTCGAATCAACATCACGCGTTTAGAGAGTTCGGCTGCTATAATTTCGCACGTGATAAGCCACTTTGTTCAGCTATCATTTGTTGCCCAGGTCCCTTCTTAAATAGAGCTAAATAGCTCAATGGGCCTTACCTGGTAGAATGAAAAAGCATAGTTTATTGTTGAGTTGAGATGTGACAGCACGCGGACTCTAATCACAGGCGCAGTTTTCTATCGAGGCTTTGCCCGACCGTGTGAGTCGAGGATATTCGCGGCGCATTAATAACCATCACGAAGAGCGCTGCGCGGATTTCTAGCAAGAAAAAACACCATTGGTAAAGAGCTCATCGTAAACAGGCGGGAGACCAATTACACACACGCGCGCGTTACACAAAAGACAAAGACCCCCCCCCCCCCCCCACGTATAGCCTTAACAGAGTTTTGGGGCAAGTGCTGTTAGCGAGTAGCGCCTATGAAGGCGCCTGGCAAGGCGCATGGGGGGGATTACAGGTGGTCAACACCACGCCCGGCCGCCTTAGTCTCTCCAGTGGCGATGTTTACACAGTACGCCAGGTACTCATTTGAGGCTGAGCCGACCTAGGGGAGGTCCAGGACCGGTTCAGATAATCGTCACTGGTGTTGGCCGTGAGCAGAAATCGAACACGGGTCTCCGGGTTCATAGTGCAGCGCGCTAACACTACACTACTGCTCCCCACTGATTCACACACACACAGAGACGCACACACTCGTACACACACACACACGAGCCCACTAACACACACTCACACGTGCACGTCGCATAAAGGAGAGCGGAGGCATTTTGAATAATGGTCATACGAAGCGATTTCTCTCGCCGCTTCACACAGCCCTGCGTGCTCATAACGAATAGGCCGATAAATAATGAAAGCCGCGCGCGATCCTGTGAGCGTACACACACACAGAGAGCTTCTCGCACAACAGCTACGAGATCTCCGTTTAGCCCTACTTGCAGATGGTGTGGCGAGTGCTGTAAGCGAGCACCTGTTAAGGCCAGAATTACGCATGAGAAAGGCAGTGTGGGTTGACACACAGACAAAGATCCCCCATGTAGCCTCGAACAGACTGTTGTTAGCGAGCACGAATTAAAGGCCGCAACGGCACACATGAGATGGTGGCGTGGCCAGTAACTACGCCCGGCCGCCTTTGTCTCCCCAGTGGTAATGTTTATCACACACGGCACCAGGTGCTCATTTGAGGCTGAGTCAACCTAGAAGAGGCCCAGGACCGGCTCAGATAATCGTCACTGGCGTTGGCCGTGAGCGGGAGTCGAACTCTGTTCGCCGGGCTCGTAGCGCAGCGCTACCGCTCCCCATATATAGACACACACACACGCTTGTACGCATAGAGCATACACACACACGTGCAAACACAACACAACGCGTACACACATGCATAGATGTAAACATATACACACATACAATACACGGAGTACATATTAAGGCAACCCGCAACTGCACACACGACACACAAATCCCCCCCACACACACATACAATCCTACGTACATAGGCACGTACGTTCACACTAACACAACTACGCGCATAATGACATACACACACGAACTTGTACACGTGCCTTCACAACACACACACACAACGACACGTACGTGCTATCTCTCACACAACACGCATGTACACACATTCACGTACATACAGGCACACCAAGACAAATATCCCCCATATAGCTTTAACAGACTGTTGGGGCAAGTGCTGTTCGCGAGCACTTATGAAGGCCAACAAATACACACATACACAAAGATGTCCCTCAAAGCCTGCATAAGCTGGGTGGGCAAGTGCTGTGTTAGCCAGCCCACGTCGATTGACGGGCAAGCCTGACACGTGGCGCGATTCCCCTCCAACTGCACGCGCGCGCCCACCGCGTCTCGCGAATGAACGAACGCCTGGCACTCACCCCTCACCCACGCTCACCCCACTCACCTCACCCCCAACCTTCCATCCACCCGCCCCCTACCAACACTCTACGCTCACCCGCGCGTCCTCCACCCATACGCGCGCGCGCCCGTGAATTGCGCTCACCTGGCGATGGGGGCCTCCGTCGTCTCCGCTCACCTCGTCCCGCTCACCTCGTCCCTCTCACCTCCTCCGTGAAGTTCGGACACCGCTTCAGGAGCCGCTTCGCGGAATTGAGTTCTTTGCACGCGATGGGCTCACGGTGTACTAATTGTCTTGATGATGACGACGACGACGATGATTATTAGTGGTCTGATTGCAGTAATTAAATAGCCGCTGAGAGAGCGCCTTTGGCAGGGAGACTCGGGCAGAGCACGGAGATTCGCTGTCTCACCTTGAATCACGTTAATGAACTATCGCAGCCTGTCAATCGATTCCGCCGTCCGTCGACTTGCCTCCATATACAGCCGCGTGTCTGTCTACTGAGACACACACACACATATATGTCCAGCGAGCAATCTCAATGTCGACCTGTCTATTCGAGCGGTCTGTCCCAGTTGTTGTTTTAGGTCTCTTCCCATACACCCCGTGTGCTTTTCTTTCTATCTACGTCGATGTACAATTTGTGGAAGTAACTGTCCATGCAAATATATGTTTGTCCACGTATCCATATATCTGGCCTTGTATGTGTATATGCATCTCGATAACTGGAAAATCATCTATATAGCTTTGTGTGTGTAGACATAACTATTGCTCTCTCTGTATGTCCATCTGTCTGTATATCCATCCATGTGTCTGTCTATTTGTCTATCTGTGTGTCTGGTTGTCTATCTGCGTGCCTGGTTGTCTATCTGCGTGCCTGGTTGTCTATCTGCGTGCCAGGTTGTCTATCTGTGTGTCTGGTTGTCTGTCTGGAATGCGATGGACACCCACGCTGAGAAGAGGAACCCTCATCATCAAACTGCACTTGGCGCTGCGCTCCTTCCGATGGCGCCGCGAGTGTAGGAACAGGCGGCGTGGAGAGAGCGGGGAGAGAGCGTGGGAGAGGAAATCAGAGCGATCGGGATAGCGAGAGAGAGACTGAGAGAGACTGAGAGAGCGACAGAGGAAGAATGATTAAGAGCAAGAGAGCGGGGGGCTAGAGAAGAGGGAGATGGAGAGAGCGGCAGGGAGAGACTGAGAGACGGCGAGAGAGAGTGCCGGGACGTGTTGCCACGGAGGTTGGGAGAGGGGTCGAGAATTGAGAGGGACCTGGGGGGAGGGGAGGGGAGAAGGAGACGAGGGGAGGGGGTGAGGGAGGCGGCGGAGGTGGGGGCGGAGATGTGAGCGCGAGGGTTAAGTGTGGGGACCTGGGAAGGGATCTGGGAGAAAGGAGGAGGAGGGGTGGGTGAATGAAGTGGGGGGTGGGGGTGGAGGGGGGATGAAGCGGATCAGGTCCACTGCCGCCCGTTGCTCGCTCGGATTCGCGTCACTGCCTCACGTCCAATCGACGGGGACGGGGAGCGTTGTGGGGGGCGGTGGGTGGGGGGGCAGATGTAGGAAGGGGGATAGCTTCGGGGGGGAGGGAGCAAGGAGGGGGAGGGGTGGCTGTGGGCTTGAGCGGCTCACTGCTCCGTCGCTCGTTCACCAAACCCACGTAACCCCGCGAATTTCAAGGGAAGTTCATCCCGCCCTCCCCCCCACACACACAGAGCCAGTCCCTCTTGCACATTCCTTCTCAAACCCTAACCTCGACCGCAATCCCTAACTCCACCAAGGCAATGTGGAATTTCCACCACTGATTCAGTGGCGCCGATGTAGACGAACGGCAGCAACAGGGAGACGCTTCATCCGTTGTTGATAAATCAATAATGGATTGACGACAAAGATAATACATGGCAGCGGATGCCAGCACAGCGATGGATTATTGTATATATCTGTGCGGAGCAAGCCACAAACACTGACAACGGTAACTGGCCAAACATCCCGATGTAGCAGGACCCTTCTGAAAATAAGTCTCCTTCTCTCATGCTGCTCTTCATCTAGCTCCATCTGCAGTCGTAGTACCGAAGTCTGACTCCCATAACGGGCAAGGACGGCACATGTGCCCCTGGGACCCCGTGTCGCTCAAGATGAGCAGCGAGCAATGAATCTGCGCGGCAGGGATGCCCCCGTGTGATCAATTCACATAAATAGACCCTACTCCACGCACTCTCCTGCCTCTCCCCTCTCATCTCACTCTACTCCCCTCCACGCACTCTCCTGCCTCTCCCCTCTCATCTCACTCTACTCCCCTCCACTGCACTCTCCTACCTCTTCCCTCTCATCTCACTCTACTCCCCTCCACACACTCTCCTGCCTCTCCCCTCTCATCTCACTCCACTCCCCTACACGCACTCTCCTACCTCTTCCCTCTCATCTCACTCTACTCCCCTCCACGCACTCTCCTACCTCTTCCCTCTCGTCTCACTCTACTCCCCTCCACGCACTCTCCTGCCTCTCCCCTCTCATCTCACTCCACTCCCCTCCACGCACTCTCCTACCTCTTCCCTCTCATCTCACTCTACTCCCCTCCACGCACTCTCCTACCTCTTCCCTCTCGTCTCACTCCACTCCCCTCCACGCACTCTCCTGCCTCTCCCCTCTCGTCTCACTCTATTCCCCTCCACGCACTCTCCTGCCTCTCCCCTCTCATCTCACTCTACTCCACTCCACGCTCTCTCCTACCTCTTCCCTCTCGTCTCACTCCACTCCCCTCCACGCACTCTCCTGCCTCTCCCCTCTCGTCTCACTCTACTCCCCTCCACGCTCTCTCCTGCCTCTCCCCTCTCGTCTCACTCTACTCCCCTCCACGCACTCTCCTGCCTCTCCCCTCTCGTCTCACTCTATTCCCCTCCACGCACTCTCCTGCCTCTCCCCTCTCGTCTCACTCTACTCCCCTCCACGCACTCTCCTACCTCTTCCCTCTCGTCTCACTCCACTCCCCTCCACGCACTCTCCTGCCTCTCCCCTCTCATCTCACTCTACTCCCCTCCACGCACTCTCCTACCTCTCCCCTCTCGTCTCACTCTACTCCCATCCACGTACTCTCCTACCTCTCCCCTCTCGTCTCACTCTACTCCCATCCACGCACTCTCCTACCTCTCCCATCTCATCACCTCCCCCCACAAACTCCCCCATCACCTCCCCCATCAGCGCCCCCATCGCCTACCCCATCACCTCCCCCATCAGCGCCCCCATCACCTCCCCCATCACCTCCCCCATCGCCTCCCCCATCACCGCCCCCATCGCCTCCCCCATCACCGCCCCCATCACCGCCCACATTACCTCTCACATCACCCCATCAGATTAAGCTTCACTCCCACCGAGCGAATCATCTCCGCCTTCCATTCATCTCCAAACCTTTTACGTAAAAAAAAATATGTTTTAGATTGCTTATCCTGGAACAGCTATGAATCATCATCATCATCACAATTTGTATTCCTATTTTGTATTTATAACAATCGCTCGTTTATTAAATTAAAAAAGCTTTCAGGCCGCAGAACGGCACACGACACCTACTTTTTCCCCATCTCATCTGCATTCAAGTTCGTGACGACGTCGCAGTATCGCCTTTGGAGAACTCCTCAGAATTAAAGGCGCTGGTTACACTGTGTAACAACACATTTTTTTGTTTCTGGCTAGGAAGTGTTATTTTGTAATTGCTTATGTCTCAAAAGTACAAAAAATTGCTATTATTCATCATTAGACCTCCTTTGCAATATCAAAATATAATAATAGGGGTTTCCCCCTTTTTTCTGGCAATAAAACTGAAACCTTTTTTACAAGGAACCATGTCTGCATTAACCACAATACTCGTGGTCAAAATGCAAACAAAAAACACACTGATAATTTATGCATTGTCCTTGAAACTGATTGGTCCACACCAGAGACAGATTTCTTTTGAGCCTCGTCTCAATTGGTGCTAGACCAGAGGACGCCAAAAGGCGTATAGCTCAAAGACAATACCACTATCAAAGTAATGAGGGCTCGGGGTAAGCATCTACATCATTAGACCTCCTTTTCCAGTACCAAAATATAATAATAGGGTTTTTCCCCTTTTTCTGGCAACAAAACTGAAACCTTTTTACAAGGAATCATGTCGAGGCTCAAAAGAAAGCTGTCTCTGGTGTGGACCAATCCGTTTCAAGGACAATGCATATATTAACAGTGCGTTTTTTGTTTGCATTTTGACCGCAAGTATTGTGGTTGTTGCAGACATGATCCCTCGTAAAAAGGTTTCAGTTTTGTTTCCAGAAAAAAGAGGAAACCCCTATTATTATGGCTATTATTCCCCACAAACTTTGCTTTTGTGACCAGGACAGTGATATTTAGAAATGTACCTATTTTCAATGAGAAAACGGGCGAATTTGTGTATTTTCGTTCACATAAGGTCAGAAAAAAACAACATATTAATCAATATTAACATGTATTTATACTAAAGTCATACAAAAATGACAACAAAAGATTTAGACACCAAGGCGCACTACCACAGGCGGGACTGGCCACAGCGGACCGAGTTCTCTGTGGGGAGGAACCACGTCAAGTGGGAGCCACTGGTGGACCCCCGGAAGGTGTTGATGCCACCACTACACATCAAATTGGGCCTTATGAAACAATTTGTCAGCGCTATAGATAAGGAGTCGGCAGCCTTCAAGTACCTTCAAGACTTCTTCCCTAAGCTTTCTGAGGCAAAGGTCAAAGCCGGTGGCTTCGTCGGACCACAGATAAAGAAGATCCTGGAGTGCAATGAATTCCCCAAGAAGCTCACTAGTAAGGAGAAAGCGGCTTGGGACAGCTTTGTCGCAGTGGCTCGTGGCTTCCTGGGCAATCACAAGGTCGACAACTACGTGGAGCTGGTTGAGACTCTGGTGAAGAACTACGGCACAATGGGCTGTAGGATGTCCCTCAAAGTCCATATCCTTGATGCTCATCTTGATAAATTCAAGGAGAACATGGGAGCGTACTCGGAGGAACAGGGTGAGCACTTCCACCAGGATATACTGGACTTTGAACGCCGCTACCAAGGATAGTATAACGAGAACATGATGGGAGACTACATTTGGGGGCTGATTCGTGAAAGTAATTTACAGTATATTCGTAAATCTTAAAAAACAACTCACTTTTAAATCCTTTGTAGTCATTTTTGTATTCCTTTAGTATAAATGCATGTTCATTTTGATTCACATGTTTTTTTTTCTGACTTTATTTGAAGTAAAAGACACAAATTCACCCATTTTGAAAATAGGTCAATTTCTAAATATCACTGTCCTGGTCGCAAAAGCAAAGTTTGTGGGGAATAATCGCCATTTTCTAGGCATAAGCAATTACGAAGTAACACTTACTACCCAGGAACAAAAAATGTGTTATATCGTGTTATCAAATACACGAAACAACCACCGCACGGCTGCTGCTGCCTGTTGTAAGTGAGGGGATGTCAGCGAAACATTTTAAACGAACAGACTGTTGGGGCAAGTGCTGTTAGCGAGGAGCAACTATGAAGGCCGACACGGTGCAAGGGAAGGTCGGTGGCCAACATCAAGCCAGGGCCGGTTCAAATAATTATCACTGATGTTGGCCGTGAGCGGAAATCGAACTCGGGTCGCCAGGTTCGTAGTGCAACGCGCTAACCGTGACGCTACCGCTCCCCATACATGTGTAGTGACACAGCTCTGACTGTTGTATAGCAGCTGCAACTGCAGGTGGCCACTTAGCGCACACGCCGTTGAGCATCTACACGGTGTGTGTGTGTGTGCCGGCAGGGCGGAGGAACTGGGGCAAGGGTCACGGCAGACTTCGTGGGGAAGCCCCTGGAACCCTCTGGTGGGTTCGAGAAGGGAGGCGTGGCTAGGGCGGAGCCAAGCGGTGCTGAGGGGAATAACAGCGGTGGAGAGCGGGGAGCTCCGGACTGTCGGTTCTGGGAGTGGACTCGTCTCGTCTCGTTGGCGTCGCTGCCGCCTTCATCGCTGCCGCCTTCGTCGCTGCCGCCTTGGCCCGATCATTGCGCGGCCGGACAGTGGTTGGGTGTCTTGGTCGACGCCGTCGGTGCAACGTGGACAGAGTCGTACGGCAGTGTGGTCGTGGGAGAGAAAGAGTGGGTGGGCCTGAGTTGGTGGCGTGAATACAACAATGAAAGGGGAGGACGGTTCCTCCAGCGACTACCTCGTCTCCCACTGAGTGTGTGCGCGACGCACGCCACCTGCACACACACAAGCCTCGAGGAGAAGGAAGAAGAGACCTAC